CAGCAGGCCGAAGCCTAGTCTGGACAGAGGCCACAGCGAGCATGTGCGGAAGTGTGAGTGGCCCAGGCCCAGAAAATGAATCGCAACAGCCGGAAAGCGCAACTTCAAAGACCAGCACCAAAGAGGACGCCGCTGGACTATCTTCCACAAAAGAAAGATACCAACGAAGATCCGCTACAAAAAAGGGGTGCCTGGTAGGCTTGTCACTTTCCCTATATGTATGTGGCCCTAGACTAGGATGTGTATTAATTGAAACATGTAAGCCGCTCAGAGCCCTAAGGGGTGAGCGGGATACAAATTGAAGGAAATAAATAAATAAATAAATAAATAAATAAATAAATAAATAAATAAATAAATAAATGTGTCTAGGCTGGCATTTTCCCATTTATGACAGATTAGACAACTGGCCTTCCTCCTGTCCCTTCCTGACTTAGCCACAGTGATCTATTCAAAGGAACCTCCAGATTAGATTACTGTAACTCACTCTTCGCAGGGCTACCCTTGAGGCTGACCCAGAAACTTCAACTGGTCCAGAATGTGACAGCATGTGTTCTCTCAGGAACCCCATTTAGAGCCCATATCCAACTGGTGCTCTGCCAACTGCACTGGCTCTATGTCAAATATCAGATCAGGTTCAAGGTTTTGGCACTAATCTTTAAGACCCTAAACAGTCTGGGACCAGCATATCTGCAGGATTGCCTCTTCTGGTATGTTCCATAAAGAGCATTACACTCAATGAATGACAACCTACTAGTGATCCCTGGCCTGAGAAGCATCCAGCTGTCCTCAACCAGAACCAGGGCTTTTTTGACCTTGGCCCCGACAAGGTGGAACTCTTTGCTGAGTGAGATCCAGGCCCTGCAAGACAGCTTATGGATGGACAATGACGGTTTCCATCAAGACTGACTTCCCTTTCCTCTCTCCCTTTCCTCTCCCTCTTTGTCCCCCTGTCCCTTCCCTCCCCTCTCCTACCCTTATTTGTTATTCCTTATTTAATTTCTACAATATTACTTCCCTCTGAATAAGGGGCACTAGGCTGTGCTTCCTTTTTATACATCATTGTATTCATTGTTAGTAGTGTTGTTAAGAACTTTTAATTCTAATTTGTTATTATTTTATTCTAATTGCTTGTTATCCAATCCAATCTAATTTATTACAGCAAGAGCCAGTAAAGCAGTAAAATTCTGATATAAGAAAAATTAAAACAATAATAACATGGGAATAGTATAAAAACATTAACAAGAGAAAATTAATAAAATTAGTAAAATAAAATAATATTAATAAGAAAATCATACAGTGTTTTCAGCTAAAATAAGTTTATGTTTCCTAATAGCTAAGCAACAAAATTTTGCCACAGAATAAGTCACTGAGCTCTGAACGTCTTCTAAGAGGAATTTCTGAAGGACTTCTGGCCTAAAGTCAAGATAAGACTGCAGAGGGCTAAATCTAGACAGAAGGGGTTGTATAAGATGGTCTCGTTCCTTCTGATAGAATCTGCAGAACATGAGGACATGAGTAACTGATTCCACCATATTAGCCATGCATGGGCATATACGTTCATGCATTGGAATTTGAGTGAATTTACCTTGCTGTACAGTGGAGGGGAGTGCCTCAGAACGGGCTCTGGAAAAGGCCCATCTATAGGGCTCATAGTTAATATTAACTAAATAAGGAGCAGCAGTAAAATTAGGCAACGATTTTATATTTCTGAAGTTCTTGGACAGTGAAGCTTCTTCATTTTCTAAATCAATATCATGTGGCAACTGTTTTTGCCTTGTATAGGCTTCCATAGAAGAGATCTTCTGGGAATAGGCCAATCTGAGTTAATTTATTAAGAATTTGTGTGAACCAGGCAGGGTAAGGGTCTGAGGCTAAAAGGTAAGGTATTAAACCCTTTGGGTTGTAATGCATTTTTAGCCAGACTGTTATAGCCTACTCCCAGACCTTTGCTTCAACTCTGAATAGCCCAGCCTCTTACCTAAGTGTTACATTAGAAGTGCTTCTAGGAACATCAAATAGAGATCTAAGAAATTTAGATTGAACCCCTTCAAAGGTGTTTAGATTGGCAGAAAGTCCAATTTGTGAGCCATACAGGAGTTGAACCAATGATTCTGCCTGGAAGGTTTTTAAGGCCATGGGGAGAAAACCTGCACCTTTCCTTCTAAATAATCGAAGGCCCCGGTCACACGGGCAGGAAACTGCAGAGGAGAAGCGTGGCTGTTTGCCCTGGGGCAAACTACTGCGCAGTTACGCGATCAGACCTCCTGTGGAGGTTCTGTGGAGGTACCGTGGAGGTTCCATGGCAAGGGAGAGGTGCCGATCACAGGACAAGCCAGCGCACAATGAAGAAGCGCGCGCCGCGGCAAACTGTTTTTTATTTTTGTGTACATGACAAATGCGCATGCTCCGTTGGGTGCGCGTGCGCATCCACAGAGACTTGGACAAAAAAAACACACCTTATTTGCAAGGGGACATGGGCGGGCGCCGGATGCCACCGGAAACGCGATCAGACGCCCGCCCTTGCCCCGCAGTTTCCGGAAACTAGTACCTCCAAGGTACTAGTTTTTTGCCACGCAGTTTCGGCTGGAAGCCTCGGTTGAGCCACGGGAGTGCTACGCTTCCCAGATGTGCTGGTGAGATCGCGCCCGGAAACTCCGGCTGTTTTCCGTCTCACTTGTGTGGCTTCTGTTACGTGTGACCGCAGCCGAAGAATGGCATTTGCACTTCATTCTGCCAAGTTAGCTGATGAGGACAGATGTGCTGAGAATTTGGAATTATAAGAAAAGGTAATGCCTAAGTATTGAAAGTTCTTAACTTGGTCTATGGCATTTCTTTTACTATTCCACTTGAACTTCCCGAATGAGTTACCGAAATGGACAATTTTAGTTTTAGCAAAATTAATAGTTAATAATTCAGTGTCACGTTGCTCTTTAAATTTTATCAGGACTTGCTTCAGGCCAATCCTTGTCTGGGATAAAAGAAAAGCATCGTCAGCATACATTAAGATTGGAACCTTTCTGCTACCCGAGAATGAGGGAGCATGAGTATCAATTGAATGAAGGCATGTGATTAAAGAGTTAACATAGATGTTAAACAAGAAGGGAGCCAAAAGGCAACCTTGTCTGACTCCTTTTTGCACTGGAATTCTTTTTGATAGTTTCCCATCTTGTGTGAGTCTTATTTGGATGTTAATTTTTTGTGCAGTTTAATTAATAGATGCAATAGCCTTCTATCAATACTCATGTCAGCCAATTGGCCCAAAGCCTTCTCCTAGGAACAGAATCAAAGGCCGCCTTGAGGTCCACAAAGGCCACATACAAAGTATTCTTCCGATGCTTCACATATTTTAAAATAAAATAATCTAGGACCAAGCAATGATCAATAGTAGCGCACCCAGGTGTGAAACCAGCTTGTTCAATTTCAAGTAAGTTGCTATGATCTAGTCATTCACACAGCTTCTGATAGAGGTGTTTAGTATATAACTTACAAATCACATTCAGAAGACTAATTGGTCTGTAGTTCAATGGGTCATAGGGGCTACCCTTTTTAAATAAAGGGGCAATTATACCCAAGCTCCAGTATTTAGGAATCTGAGTTGAGGCATCTATATAGGAGAAAAGATTTGCTAAGACTGGAGCCCATCAATCTATGTGTGATTTTAAAAGTTCAGTAACTATAAAGTCACCTCCTGGGGCTTTTCCTGGTTTCAATTGTGATATTAACAAGGTAGTTTCAGATACAGAGACTGGAGGCCATTGTGTGGAGTGATCTAACAGAATATCAGGAGGAGCAAAATACTGCTGATCCCTTAATGGCTTGTTATCATGTTACCATTGTTGTTATCTGCCCTGAGCCTTGTTGAACATGTGAGGGTGGATTATAAACACAACAAACAAACAAACATGCTTTGGGAGTGTCCAGTCATTCAGGGTTTTTTTTTTCTGGGAAAAAGTTATTATCCATATCAATTATGTGTTAGAATATTCATTGATTTTTGAGGATGCTTATGCACTTTTAAACTATCTGCCCACCTCAGTGAAAATGAACCTTCCATACCCTCAGTAAAATACTCATATTACAACATTGGATAGATAAAAGTCCACCTCTAGTAAATCAATGGATTGAGGATTTTAGTAATATTTGAACACATGGCATATAGATGACAATTGTGTATGGATTTATTTTTAGATATCTGGAAATATTTTATAGAATCTTAAGCTGATTGCTAGAATTACAGCAAAGAGTTTCTACCATTCAGGCAAGGACGTGAGTCTCGGGATGATGAATTCTGTTATTGTTTTTTGAATTCCATCTATGCATTATGAAGTTCTTATTTTTGTTAGGGAACAATGTGAGGGCTTTGTATCACACATGCAATGGGAGTACTATGCCTCCCCAGTGCATACTGTCTCTTTTCTGCTTAAGACCATCATACATAGGGAGAAGCACCTTTAGCCCCACACTGTATCAGCTTCTGCAAATGGCCCCATAGAACCACTACTGGTTCCATTGCAAAAATCACTTCACTTGCATGGCTACACATACATTTCACAGCAGAGCCACTAGTGGCTCCAATGGGTGGCTTGCAGATGCAAAATCATAAGGGGTGGGTGGGTTAAAAGCTATTTATCCTTGTGTTGAGTTGTAACAAATAGAAACGAACCACTGTGTATCTGGGAGGAACAAAACTCCCATCACACATTTGATACGTGTTATACAAAATCTTCATGTTGTTCCCCAACAAAAATAAAGACTTTGTCTTTAGCTGGAGCCTGAGTATCTCTTGTTCCTTGCCTTGTTTCATCTGATGTTGTACAAGCAAAGGGACTAGCACCTAGTAGAGCATACATGCATATCGTCATTATCCAAATGTATTTGGTGAACTTGTCTTCCCCAGTATCAAGTAGACAGTGAAAGGAAACATCCAACAGTATAGCTGGTTTTATTAATGGGATATGGGGTGGGCTTGTGTAAGTAATCTAAAAACAGAGCCATCTTTTCTAAGGATGCCAGGAGTCCCTATTTATTTCCTGTGGGTGGACTACTGGCATTCTAATTGATTTATTTATAAAGGTCCGCTTCTGTGTAAAAAAAATATTGGTTTCATGAATTCTATTAGAAGACAGAAGTTTAGCCATAGTCTTTCTAACAGCCTCTTTAAACTCCCTGTTTCTCAGTGTATATATAAAGGGATTGATCATGGGAGTCAGGATTGTGTAGAAAACAGAGAAGACTTTGTTCAAATCCCGCAGTTCCTTGGTCTTTGGTAATATGTACACAATGATGAGGGTTCCATAGAAAAGGGAGACCACAATAAGATGAGAGGAACAAGTAGAAAAGGCTTTGCCCCTGCCACTGTTGGAAGGAATTCTCAAAATGGTGATGATGATGCATACGTATGAGGCCAGTGTGAACAACAGTGGTGGCAGTGTGCATGCGGAGCCCAAGACAGTCATCACTGTTTCTGTCTGCTGAGTGTCACTGCAGGAGAGCATTAACAACGGTGTATAATCACAGAAGAAATGGTCGATTTCATTGGGGCCACAGTAGTTCAGCTGGGAAGCAAAGAATGTTGTGAACGCACTAGCTACAATGCCAATCATCCATGAAGCGATTAACAGTTGAACACACAGCTTGGTATTCATGAGGGTTACGTAATAGAGTGGTTTGCATATAGCCACGTATCGGTCATAAGACATCACAGAGAAGAGGTAGCTCTCAGCTGCAGCCAAAAAAGCAAAGAAATAAAACTGAATGAAACATCCATTAAAAGAAATCCCATGATAGTCATTTATAAAGCTGGCCAAAATCCTAGGAAGGACTGTTGAAGTGTAGCAAGTCTCTAAAAGGGATAAGTTGGCCAGAAAGAAGTACATTGGTTTGTGAAGGTGGGGTTTAGCCAGAACTACGGAAGCTATAAGGATGTTCCCAGCCATTGTTACCAGGTAAATTGTGGAAAACATGCCAAGGAGGAGATGCTGCTGTTCTGGAAGAGTCTTGAATCCTATGAGGACAAATTCTGTGACTCTTGTCTGATTGTACCAAGGTGTCTCTGCCATGTTTAATCCAATGACTACGTAGATGCTGCCAAACAAATTAGATTGTGCGGAGCATGCACATTTCTAGTGAAAGAAGATTAGAGAAAGTATTCATATTCTTTGATATCTGCATTCCCATGTCAACAGTAAAAACAACAGGATAGTAACATTGATCTGTAAAACTTAAATCACAGAATTACCAATTCTATTGCATTGTATAACCAATAAGATGTGATTTTTTTTGAACACGTGATGAGGGTTGCCATGAACAATGGGTCGTGGCACATGTTATATTGTTACTTAACAAGGGCTCCAATTATTTCTACTCCTTTACAGTTAACTTCACTCTGCTACCTTTGTAGGATGGATGCTTTATGCTTAATTATACTGTGGTTACCTTATGTATAATCAGGCAACAATTAAAAATCTACATCTGTTATCTATTGCTATCCACAGAAGAAACAAGACTTATTTTGTAGTGGATAAGTACCAGAACTCAGATTTTTGGTGGTTTCTTAAAACTCTTCAGAACGTTGCTTGAGTGATGAAATGCATACCCATTTTACTCCACAGGTTATTGTTCCAGTGTAGGAATTAGCTGAATCCAAATTATAAGGCATATGTGTTCAATCAAGTAACATTATTATAGAAGGTTGATCATCATTTGGAGGTAAGAGTGTCATGTCAAGAACAAAATGCCCTCCTAGTGCACACTACTGTGCAAACACATCTCTGTGTGCCTTGGTGTGAAGCCATGTTAGTTTGTAGTAGCAAACAGAACTTCAACTCCAGTAGCACCTTAAATACCAACAATTTTTTCCCACAGTATAAGCTCTTGTGAATCCAAGCTCACTTTGTCAGATACAGTTCTTTATTCTTATTTGTATCTGACAAAGTGAACTTTGGCTCATGAATTCTTATAACCTGGAAAATGTTGTTGATCTTTAAGGTTCTACTGAACTTGATTTCTGGTGCAGTTTTGAATACTATAGACCTATGGCACAATTTATATAGTGCTGCTCTATTGACCAAGAATCACATCTGGAAGATTATCAAAATTTAAGTTTCTTGGCACGATCTCTGTCCATTAATGTATTTCATATATGCTTGGTGGTATCCAGCCAGGTTTTTCATTCAATATAACCCAATTCCCCTCCATACTATGTCTCCCATCCCACATAACTTTTGTCCATGCATGCCCCATGGGCCCCAGCGTACTCTTCTTGGGTGGTCAAAGGGGATCCTTTCTCAATTTCTCAACAATGAGATATGGACTGCAGCTTCTGACGAGATGCCTTTAATCTTTTTTTTCCCCAGGGGCTAATCACACTGCACATTGTTTGTGGAATTTGCTAACTGACAAGTTACAGAAGGGAGCTACAATGAGAATGCAATAAAGAATAAAACACACAGAGAACCTTTGTAAAGAAAGAAGGATGGGATACTTTAATATTTTTGGAAGACTAATAAGGAATACAATATTTACCTAGTTCATTCATACCCTGTCTTTCTCCTCAACAGGGACCTGATGTGTCTCAAATCATTCTGCTCTCCTCCATATTTATCCTCACAACAATCATGTGAGGTAGGTTAGGCTGAAAGAGAGTGACTGGCCCAAGGTTACCCAGCAAGCTTCCATGGCAAAGTGGGGGTTTGAACCTGGGTATCCCAGATCCTAGCCTGACACTGTAACTACTACACCACACTGGCTGGAACATCTTTATGAAATTGCCTGATCCTTAATCAAACCATTGGTCTACGTTTTCTAAATCATTCCTTAAAACGTCTCCTCATCAATACATTCACTAGCAATGGCTCAGCAACCTTCTACTGTATTGGAAAACTGTGTATTTGCAATTTGTTATGCTAGATGTACAAGACCCACCTGATGATTTTAATATAACTCTAGAAATCTCTCATGCATAAACACACACATACACCGAGAAAGGTTGACCTTCATATATGCTCCCCCATCACTACTAGGATCACTTCCTTAGCATGTCAGGAGTCTTCAGTATGGATTCGCTGGTAAATTTCCATCTCTCAGAAAATGTGTGTCTGTAGATAAAGACATGTTCCGGTTTGTATTAGAATATTCTAGCTTGTACTATATCTGTACTATATATTGGAAGCCCCCTCTAAAAATGCACAGTTGTTTTCCTGTAGTTATCTTTCCTGCACAAAATGCAATCTCTCTGGACACTTTTTCCACAGGGAATTATATACTCACCTGAGATGAGCAATCTGAAACACAAGGGTGTATTTAAACACTATTAGATTGAAAATACTGTAGTAGAATTCCCCCAGGAAACTTGTTCTCTAAAGATGTGGAATCACAGTCTTGGTAAACTCACACACTGTTCCCCAAGGAATATGGGGAAAATATATATGGCAGTCAAAACATAACTTTGTTTTTGGCTCGTTATTATATTTCAAACATAGAGGTCACCCAGATGAAATGACAGAGGACAAAAGAAAGCAATGTTTTATGCAATGCATAATGCTGGAATTTGCTGCTGTACCATTTCTCTTGCATGACTTTAAAGATGACTTTAAAAAGGGTTAGATATACATATATGGAGGCAAGGTCTACCAACAACTAGGAGCTATGATAGTGGTTAACTGGAAACCCAGTGTACTCCGAAACCACTCTGGACACCATAGAACCCTATCTTCCACATTAGTAGACTCTGCTGTTAATTCATTGCAGGATATGCCCTATTTAATGATAAATTAATATATCAATGAAACATTTAGAGAAATGAGAGGCTTTTTCTCCACCTCATGGTTACTAGAAAATAGAATTGCTATATAAGTGTTATAAATATGACCCTCGTCTGAGGTGATATGAAATGGCAGACTAGGGACCTCATGATGTCTTAATGATCATGCACATTTACATGTATGTGACTGGTGCAGCCTCATCAACATCTCCCAAAGATTGCAACCTAGAGATCCTGGGAAAAGAGGCTGAATTCTTGAAGAATGACAATGATAGAAGCTCACATTATGAAGATGAACCCCCAGATAGCATCTTTAAAAAATTATCTCATCTTTCTTCCTTCATGGAATTTAAGGAAGGATATGGAAGGATCCCAGGAAATTTTCTATCCCGGCACAGCTCACAACCCAATATACATTGCTGTATTATGGACCTTCACAACATACCCTTGTGCAGTAATCCTCAACATGGTTTCCATGGGCACGATAATACGTTCCAATGAGTTTCCTGGTGCTCAGTTCCTTCTTCATCAAAACATAGATTAAATTCCCACTTTCTTTCACCTCATTGGAGAAGTGCTTCGGAAGAGACCAGGAAGGCATAGTTATTATGGCTGCAGTGAACAGCTATTTAGAAACAGCTACCTTTATCAAGGGAGGATGCCTATCCCGGAACCTCCCCATATTTTGTGACTGTCCTCAGCCCACATGGCAGCCATTTGGTGGTGGTGCCTGCTCAATGTTCTCAAGATTCAGGAAGGATAATAAGGTTATTCTATGTCCCTGTGCTAGGGACATAGAAAATAGAGATGGTTCTGGGGTATTACATACTATCCCACCCATTCATCAAAGGAACTCATTTTATCCTCCCTACAAGTAAGCCTGTCAGAATGACTAGTCATTGCCAGGAAATTTTGTGGTTTTCCCAGTTCTTTCCACTCTAGTCTGTCACTACCCATTGGTAAAAAGAGACCATTAATAAGGCCTGTGTAGATGTAGCTTTGTGGAACCTACTGTTTATTTAAACCCTGATCTTCTCCTCAATGTGATCCCAAAACAACATACAATATCATTTACCCCTCATCCATTTTACCCTTATAGCCCTGTGAGTTAGGTTAGGCTTAGAGAGAGAGGGAGAGGGAGAGGGAGAGGGAGAGGGAGAGAGAGAGAGAGAGAGAGCGAGAGAGAGAGAGCGAGAGAGAGAGAGACAGAGAGAGAGAAAGTCAACAGACAGACAGACAGACAGACAGACAGACAGGAGAGAGAGAGAGAGAGAGAGAGAGAGAGAGAGAGAGAGAGAGAGAGCAACAGGCCCAAGGTCACACAGCGAGCTTCAATGACACAGTGGGGATTTAAATCTGGTCCCCCTCAGTTCCCAATCTGACATGGGTGGGGATGGAGATGCATTTTGCCCTTTTGCCCCCTTGAGCAACTCAACCCCACTTTCTGGAAAGAAAAGGGGGGGGAATGGATATTTTAAAGAGGAAAAAATTGGCAAACCAATAACTGCCCATCTAATTATATGGCAACTGTGGAACTGGAAAAGAATTATATCAGAGTAATAAAATAAGACAAGCATTATTCTGCTTATGCTAGTGTAAAAGTAAATTTTATGTGATGCTCTGGATGAAAACCGTGCCTGGCAATCAGTGGGTACTTCCAGGGGTGGGGATATGGGGTGGGTGTGGCATCATGTATACCCCAATGTCACTTCAGGGGTGGATCCTGGAATGACATAGGGTAGCTCTAGAAATCACTGGGAAGTCTATGGTAAAAGCACAAAGATTCAAGCAATTATTAGATCTACCCAGCATCACTTCTGGGTTTTCCCAGGAAGTGACATAATGGGGAATATGATGCTGATTTTTTTTTAAAAAAAAAATTATCCTATCAGTGCTTGGAGTGGTGGCAGGCAAAAAGGACTGGCACACAGACTCCTCCAGCATAGCAGGAGGCCTGGCAGCCCTAACAAAAACTTATATTGGAACTGTAGTGTCAGTGCTTCCTGATATAATATATAAACAATACATTTCTGGTGAGCTACTAATAAACACATACTTTTGAAAAATTATAGTAAAAAGACAGATAAAGGTACTAGAAAGTTTGCCTGTCACATTATCATATGATGAGAAAGGGCTGCTATTTGTTCTAGTTATAATGACCACCCACACTCACAGTTGGTA